TGTGGGAGGAGTGCATAGAATACATGCCATAGATTGTATAATTATAGTATGTGCATTGATTCCACAGAACAGTCATCTGCTGCACAAAGTGGTCACGATTTATTAGGAAGTGCTTATCTCATCTCAAATGAAGAGGGGATGATTGCAGGTATTCAGTGGGTTCACTCTAGTCCAAAACAAGGCAGAAGTGGTTATGTGTCTTCCAGGCCATGGTAGAAGGAGAGTTCCCAACCATTTTCACCTTATGATCAGGAAGCAGAAAGGAAAAACATATGTACAGAACCAGTACACAATCAATACCAGGCCATCCAGGCGAGAATGCAAATGTGGTGGATCAACTGTGGTCCAAAACCAGGCAGTGTCAGTATTTTTCTTCTGGTCCATGGTAGGAAGAGGAACTCTACCAACCACATGTTTGAGGACTGATGTTGGCTGGTCCTACGTAATTGTATAATTGTAAGAGGGTGACCTGCGATACACTGATAGTGTCACTACTGCCCCAGTTTCCAATTATTTACACCAGTTGTTCAGCCCCTGGTACGTAAGTCCCAATCAGTGAGAGTTCTTCATGGTCCACCACCCCAGTGGCTAGGAATTGATAAGTGGTGAGGGTCCCCCCTGTTGCACTTGAATAAAAAGAGAGGAAAAATTCATGGTGTGGAGACCCAGAGAAAATGCATTGGATGCCAGCCAGTAAGGTATTTTACTGGGGACAGTGCAACAGGTGACTGCTTAAACCTGTTTTAAAAGCCAAGCTAGGAAAGCAGGAAGAGCACTTCCTGGTGTTGGTTTTGTCCATGACAGTCCAAGGAATAGGTACGGTTTTGATCAGACATTAGACAGATATCAGAATATACCTCAAGTTTTGATGAGGTGTTTTGCAAGATAGTTGGCATATATGGAGCAAGGGCAGATGGTATGAGCCCTTTCCATTAGCCTGGCTTGATGCAGAATTTTGGGAAGGCACCACCAGCCACCTGGCAGGATTCTGGAAGCAAGTGCTATAAACCAATAGGGTATGAACTCAGTTGTGTGAAGACGGTGAGTATATTGTAGGACTGTGAACGGACACAGGCAGTGACCCACATTAGACAAGATAGCCAGATGGTAAAGAGAGTTAGTGATGAAATTATGTGATGATGTTCATATGCTAGTAGGATTGGTCTTGTCCAGTGGCAGTAGGAAACGAGCGGTGACAGAATGAGGGAGGTAACGAATTTTATGGGATGAAATGCAGATCGTTTGCAAGAAACAACCTCTAAAGAGAAGGAGACCAAACAAAGAATGTGGCAGACCATACTAATAAAGGAAGAAAATGATTTATTACTGGAGGAAAAGGAAACCCAGAGAAAGACGAGTGGAAGGCAGAAATTACAAATTCATAATTTGCAATAATTTGTGTGAAAATGGTAATAAAAGTCGGGAAAACAATAGAATGCAAGAATTACCAAAGTAACCTTATTAAAAAAAAGAAAAATATGAACAAATTCCAAAATATCAGAAAAAAAAAATTATTGAAAACTGAAAGCAAGCAAGAAACACACCTGACTTGGATTGTGCCATTCAAGGAAGTGAGGGTCACGTAAAGTACTACAGAGAAAGCTATCTGTTCTAGGAGAGTGTGTTGTGCTCCTATTGGTGGAGGGTTGTCGCATGCTATATGCATGCTAAATGAGCATCTCAAATTCATGGGGTATAAAGGCTAGTAAATCAAGCGTGAAAATTTCTTTTTAATTTGTTAGAGGGCAGTGTAATAATGAGAAAAATCTATTGTGTAAGATGAGATATGTATCATATCTGAAAATAACATGCCCAACAGTGTACCAGTAGTTCAAGTACATGGATATGGAGAGAGGACTCATTGTGGGTCCATATGCCTGATGTAAAATATATGATCTGGGATGCTTCCCAAAAAGAACATACATATATATATATATATATAAAAGAAGGGACAGGAGAACCATTGAGGTCAAAGAATCCTGTGAGGCATCTCGCTGGAGATAAGCCATCCCCATGGAGCCATGGTTACCAAACACAAAACTCCATATACAGAGATTGGGACAGGCACGAATCTTAATGACAGATACCACCACCTGCTTACCCATACCTATAAATATCCACCAACAGTAATCACAATTCACACAACATTCAGCCTTGATAATGGATGCAGAATGCATTCGAAACGCGTTGGCCAACTCATCACTAGCTACAACTTTTACCCGTTGTTCTAACAACGTTAAGACAGCTTATCGACTTCTTGAGAAGAATTCTAAGAAGAAAGTAAACCTACAGACATCAGTCTTGTTTAACAAAATCTGCCTACAAGAAAATCTGTCACCAAAGTACACCAAAATGGTAAATAATATAGTGTTACGTCTCCGTTTGTTAATTAACTTTCCGTAACTTCCGACGAAATTTAAGCGACACAAGTT